TGCATCGTCAACCATTTGAATCTCCAGCACTGAACATGCATCGTCAACCATATGAATCTCCAGCACTGAACATGCATCGTCAACCATTTGAATCTCCAGCACTGAACATGCATCGTCAACCATTTGAATCTCCAGCACTGAACATGCATCGTCAACCATTTGAATCTCCAGCACTGAACATGCATCGTCAACCATTTGAATCTCCAGCACTGAACATGCATCATCAAACATTTGTATTTCAGCAAATCAGATGCCAGCAGCCTCATATATTCATCTCCACTGACTCTGACAGTGTACAGGGATCAGATCTCATCAAGCCGAGACATCATGTCAGACATAATCTTGACAAGATGAGACATTGGCTTGGAGATCGTGTTGACAAGATGAGACATAGAGATCCTGTTGACATGATGCGACATTAGAACCGAGATCGTGTTGACAAGATGAAACATCGGCTTGGAGATCGTTTTGACAAGATGAGACATAGCGATCGTGTTCCCAAGATGAGACTTCAGGTCAGAGATCCTGTTGACAAGATGAGACATCAGGTCAGAGATCGTGTTGACAAGATGAGACATAGAGATCGTGTTGACAAGATGAGACTTAAAGGGGCACTGATCTAACGCAATTCCCCGGACTGGTTGTTGCCTTTGTTATTGTTTTTCCCCCGTGAGTACCCGGATGATACGCAGCGCAACTGAGCGTGACCAGAGACAGGGCTACCGTCTGCAAGGACAGCTAAATAAACTTGGAGGCTGGAGGCAATATTTGTTTTACGCATTTTTGAACACTGATTGGTAACTGTGATCTATAAAGATTTCGACAAAGGGCGCATGTTAATTAATTTCTTCAGCCTAAAAAAACAGACAAAAACAACAGCGGAGCTCATCGGATGTCGTCATTTGGAATTACCCCAGATGGTTATAGTTTAATAATAATAAAAAAGTATCCATGCAGTGAAAGCATTTTCGGATTTCGGATTGCGTCAATAATACGATTACTACTCCCTTGTTGTCATCCACGTTTTCTGGTATAACGCTACACTTGTCGTCATTCACTTGATGCTCAATTAATGAATTTATTACAGGTACAATTAGTGGTAGCACCACTTAGATTACCTGACAAAGGTTCCAATTTGGCATTTATTGTGTCTGGGGTAATTATTCAATCTAAATCCAGGTTTGAAGTGAGGTGAAATGTGTGTTATGTAATATGCACGTGGCAGCCCAGCAAGAGGTGAATGATCAGTTGATTTACTTTTTTTTGTAAATCAACGGATCGTTCCTAGTCATTAAAGGATTAACAGAAAATACGTTGATTGATTAATCACTGTTATCTTGCACAGTGGATATGTCAACAGTTAGTGTTTACATGTCTAGGTTTACTAAAACAAAGGGAATACACTCATATCATGGCGTGAAGTGCCGATGTAAAAACAACATACTTTGTTTAAAGGGTTCACTGATAATACGTTGATTGATTGTTCATTGTTATCTATCACTCAATGGACTTTTTAGGAACCGTGGACGTTTTGAAAATAGTTGTCACGTGGGCTTTCTCAGCCGACCCTTGAGACTTGACACCTATGTGAAACACCTGAAACAATCCAAGTGATCAGTTGAGAAACGAACACGGGTTATAATATCCCGAAACGATATATATCTTTTAAAATATTTGATTGTTATAGAGACACGTGACAACAAATAAGTTTCTTTGTACAGCTGCAGACGAGTGGGATATTGTTCCTTTGTGTGGATATTCACGGATACATTCCTCGAACAAGGAAGCTGCCAAAAATTTATACACATAAATTTGGTAGGTTGTAATTATGGTATTTGCATTTTGTTTTCCTTCATTTGCTGTAGCATTGAACCGATTCGTTCTTGTTCCGCTACGTCTTGGGAAATTCTTCAATGCGCGATAGACGTTGTTTTCACATGTCTTTTCCTTTGTAAGCGTGTATATATTACCGTCAATTTGTAAAATGTGATTCTCTCAGGCAATTTATAAAATGTGTAAATATTTCAGTCATTTTGACTGAAAAATCTGTCCAGATTGACTAAAATTGATTAAGACGATCAAAAGGGCCTAAAAACATCATAAGCAGATTATTATGTAGGATTAGAAGCCAAACTACATAGAAATGTACTTTTCAACGTAACATTTTCAGTCTCTTGGTGATGACATTAAACATCAAAATGTTTGGAATTCGTTATCATAATAATACAGATTGAAATGTTTTTCAGTCACTTGGTAAAATAACTGAATATTTAGGCGTTTAATAAATTTGAAAATGTTACACATTTTTACAGTAAAAAAATATACACACTATAAAAACAGCAATGCTCAGGTGAAATATTTACTTTGTGTTGCAAGTCAAAATAGTATAAACGAAAATCGCAAAATTACCAAGCAAGTGACTTATCAAAACTTCGTCACCATTACCGATGCTACCCACAAAGATACATACATTTCCTTATTATCTCGAAAACTGTATTTCATTTTGTTGATCAATGTGACCATACGCCCTTATTACTACCCATAAAAGTGACTAATGCGCTTACGAATGGCGCAGCAGAGGTCGCGAACTAGTCTAGATTTCTGCTATACATCCGGGTACTCACTGGGAAAAAACAATAACAAAGGCAACAACCAGTCCCGGGAAATTGCTTTAGATCAGTGCCCCTTTAAGGTCAGAGATCATGTTGACAAGATGAGACATCGGCTTAGAGATCGTGTTGACAAGATGAGACATCAGGTCAGAGATCGTGTTGACAAGATGAGACATCAGGTCAGAGATCGTGTTGACAAGATGAGACATCAGGTCAGAGATCGTGTTGACAAGATGAGACATCAGGTCAGAGATTGTGTCGACAAGATGAGACATCGGCTTAGAGATCGTGTTGACAAGATGAGACATCAGGTCAGAGATCGTGTTGACAAGATGAGACATCAGGTCAGAGATCGTGTTGACAAGATGAGACATCGGCTTAGAGATCATGTTGACAAGATGAGACATTCAAATACTCAAATTCTTCACAGATACAGTAAATATGTGGCAAATATGGCAATAGATTAGCTTATGTTATTCAAATGATGCATTCATATACAACAGTGGCATGCGACACGACACAATTGTTGACTGTATATAAGCAGCCACGTTATACATGGATACGGTCAATGAATTCGTCTTTCCAAAGTTTTAGAGATTTTACAGACGCTTCAGAACTTTTGTCTTCTCAAGAGACATGTTGCTGACCGACAGGGTTTGAAATTCTTTGTATATTTGTGACAATGGCACGATGAAAATAATTTCCTGGTGTCTGAAGGTCACTCAGAATACACATTATGTTAAGAACAATACCTTGTGAAAACATGATGACACCACAAATTAATAGGATAATGTAAAATGATGACTTAATGAACATGCTTAATGCAATCATAAATTTCAATGTTCAGAAATGACCATAGGTATTAACAACCTCAATGGAGATGAAGAGGCAAACTATCTATCTATCCTTGGTGCCATGACATTTGGTTGGCACACATTAATTACTGTGTGCACAAATAAACCCTGTGGCACACCTGATACAGCTCCATCCCGGACATGGAAGGGTTCTTCCTGATACAGCTCCATCCCGGATAGGGCAGGGTTCTTCCTTATATGGAATATGATTTCTATCAATAGTACATGCTGTATATAAATGAATCTTGCTTAATATCTAAGCCATGGGTCTTATTTATATAATACATGTCTACATCGAATGTTTAATGTTATAAATATATATCAATGTATTGTGAGTTCTGCATGCGAGTTTAATGTTTCCATAAATGAGTTTCATGATTTATCTCCTGATATTCTGAATGTTGTGGTTATAAACATATACATATTTTACACCTGTATATAAAATTTAGTTCCTTACATACAGTCAACAATATGGCTCTTGATACACAGAATAAATCAAGCGAATACAAAACCCAATATACTGATTATATTTCTCCATTTTTAATGTCAGAAGTGTCACAGTAGTGTAGACAATCACCGGCAGATGAACTTCCTGGTAGAAATTCTAGGACCTTGACCTTCAATTTGCACAAAGAAGTATAGGTGATGGGGGTACGGCGCAACCCACCCTCGCCATCATATAAAATTTTCGACCTTCATGTAAACATTATCAGGCGCTGGATCTTGCACTGGAGTCGTGGTCGTCCCCATTGCCTATACTACTGCTGGAGTCGTGGTCGTCCCCATTGCCTATACTACTGCTGGAGTCGTGGTCGTCCCCATTGCCTATACTACTGCTGAAGTCGTGGTCGTCCCCATTGCCTATACTACTCACAATTATATAAAAATACCAAACTCATGGCAATGTCTGTTTCTGCCCCTGCCTCCACCTCATCTGGGGCATCACATGCAGTGATAGACACGGCCACTAGACCGCTAGTCCCAGACTAGTTTGTTTTTGTTTGTTGTTTAATGACGGTGGTCTGTCAATAATCGAGTCTGGACCAGACAATGCAGTGATTGATAACATGATCATCGGTCCATGCAAGTGGGATATGAATGACATACATCAACAGGTCAGCAAGCTTGACCACCTGATCCCGTTACCAGACTAGTAACAATCTAGATGGACTAGTTGTCTTATCCCCAAGCCTAGTTACTTTACATAACCATTCGTCCGACAAGGGCTGCTGACTCCTTGTATATGACCAATGGTGTCAGCCCGTGTCCTGGTCAAGCAGCAGTTGTCCTGTCATGAAGGTCATGGTGTGAAGGTCATGTCATGACGAAGTTCTACGACGCCAGAGGGGCAGGCAACCACTGACAGCAAAGGTGACAACCTGACCTCGAGTGACAGCTCCATCTTCCCGAGGCAAGGGCGTTAACTGACTATAAATGTCCATTTTCCACCTTTGCCGAACTAGGCTGGAATTATGGAGTTTGGCTGGACTAACGAGTCTATGCACACTCAAATCAAAATCACGTAACGAAATCGACATCCGGTTTGTAAACTGTCGTGCAGATTTCTGTCAACTGCAGGAATTGCAAAGCATGTGTACTGCCAACTCGGCGTTAACAGATATTTTCTAAATCTTTTCATGTTTTTAATCAAGGTGCTCACCTGATCTGACACACTTCATGAAGTAAGACCTGTTTTATTACAATATAGATTTTGATTATCGATCAGAATATGGATATGAAAGAGCCCAGAAATTCCAGCAAATTTAGGCAAGGGTAGAACCTGGAATTTAGTCAGGTAAGTCCCTTGATGCCCAATCTTGAGAGAGGGCGACCCGACCTCACTTCTTCTCTGACATCCAGGCCATGTATGTATTCCATCCCAGGGCCACGAAGTTGACAAACAGAACTCTGAAAAAACACCATAGAGTCTTTAAAATGACATCCTGACACTAATGGTGCATCAAATAGATACATACTTACATTCTGTTGTTGTGCAACATACAGCCACTGTCCACATGGAAAACTACGGGCACATACATGAGCAGCCCTTTCACGCCCATTTCCTAAAGACATGACAGTTCTAACATGCCACTATGCACTTTAAGTCTCAAGAAGTTTTGGGAAACACATACTTAGAATTTAAACCAGAAAATGCCATGTCCCTAGCTTTCCTCAGAAGGAATTGAATATTGATCAGTTATTTCTATTCAAGGATAACCTCTAAGATGACCTAGACCGTAGACACTTCAGATGTTAGAACCCAGTGGCATTGGAGTTGGTCACGTTTTCTAAGACACCTGCAATATCAGATGTCATTCAGCAGGAACGAATTGGGATGAAGGCACAAACATGCAATTGACTTTCACTTTGCGTGAGTTCATTGGAGTATGAACCTTCATAGAGTGAGGGCCAAACTATTAACATTGGAGCTTGCGACAACGTTCATACAATGTTTGGCCCTCACTCTATGAAGGTTCATGCTCCAATGAACTCACACAAAGTGAAAGTCAATTCTTATAATTTTTTATATCACTATTTTCTACCTCGAGGGATGTAGCGCTAGATCGATTCATGTGACTTCATGTTTACACTGACAGCCGTACAACAACCAGCTGTATCATGGAATAAAATGGTTCCCTAAAAAGAGAGGTGACGTGAGAGGATGTGTGCCCTGCTTGGCTGCACAGGACCATCGGACACAACACATATTTTCAAACAATATCATCACTGGGGGAGAAAGGTCTGTTAAGAACTACCTCAGTAAGTCAGTCACAATGACAGCGTGTTGTAATATGCGAGAGATTTCCGAAGTTGTTAATGAACATGTGGCAGTTACATGTGTTAGTCATCATTAATCAGTTGGCCAATCATTGAAAGGTGGTTATAAAAGATAGATACTGAGGTCAACTCAAGATTGCTGCAGACTGTCCTTGTCAGACTAGATCGCTCGAGTTGAAACTACGATTGTGCAAGGAAAGTGGAGGTAGTTCTTCAGCGTTTACATCATTTCATGAACAACGTATGAACGTCAATGTCATTCATATGCTTATGAATGTCAATTTCGTGGTCATGTGACTGGCCTCTCTTCCAGTGGAAAAGCTGTATATCATGTAAACATCAAATAAAAAAAATATTATCAGATGCCATTTAGCAGAGATGAAGTGGGATGAGGGAACAAACCTGTGTTGGAGTGGGATGAAGGAACAAACCTGTGTTGAAGTGGGATGAAGGAACAAACCTGTGTTGAAGTGGGATGAAGGAACAAACCTGTGTTGAAGTGGGATGAAGGAACACACCTGTATTGAAGTGGGATGAAGTTACAAACCTGAGTTGAAGTGGGATGAAGGAACAAACCTGTGTTGAAGTGGGATGAAGGAACAAACCTGTGTTGAAGTGGGATGAAGGAACACACCTGTATTGAAGTGGGATGAAGTTACAAACCTGTGTTGAAGTGGGATGAGTGAGTGAGTGAGTGAGTTTGGTTTTACGCCGCTTTTAGCAATATTCCAGCAATATCACGGCGGGGGACACCAGAAATGGGCTTCACACATTGTACCCATGTCGGGATTCGAACCCGGGTCTTCGGCGTGACGAGCTGACGCTTTAACCACTAGGCTACCCGACCGCCCTGAAGTGGGATGAAGGAACACACCTGTGTTGAAGTGGGATGAAGGAACAAACCTGTGTTGAAGTGGGATGAAGGAACAAACCTGTGTTGAAGTGGGATGAAGGAACAAACCTGTGTTGAAGTGGGATGAAGGAACAAACCTGTGTTGAAGTGGGATGAAGGAACAAACCTGTGTTGAAGTGGGATGAGGGAACAAACCTGTGTTGAAGTGGGATGAAGGAACACACCTGTGTTGAAGTGGGATGAAGGAACAAACCTGTGTTGAAGTGGGATGAAGGAACAAACCTGTGTTGAAGTGGGATGAAGGAACACACCTGTGTTGAAGTGGGATGAAGGAACACACCTGTGTTGAAGTGGGATGAAGGAACAAACCTGTGTTGAAGTAGGATGAAGGAACAAACCTGTGTTGAAGTGGGATGAAGGAACACACCTGTGTTGAAGTGGGATGAAGGAACACACCTGTGTTGAAGTGGGATGAAGGAACACACCTGTGTTGAAGTAGGATGAAGGAACAAACCTGTGTTGAAGTAGGATGAAGGAACACACCTGTCTTGAAGTGGGTTGAAGTGGGATGAACGAACACACCTGTGTTGAAGTTGGATGAAGGAACACACCTGTGTTGAAGTGGGATGAAAGAACACACCTGTGTTGAAGTGGGATGAAGGAACAAACCTGTGTTGAAGTGGGATGAAGGAACAAACCTGTGTTGAAGTGGGATGAAGGAACACGCCTGTGTTGGAGTGGGATGAAGTTACAAACCTGTGTTGAAGTGGGATGAAGTTAAAAACCTGTGTTGAAGTAGGATGAAGGAACAAACCTGTGTTGAAGTGGGATGAGGTAGAAGTTGATGAGCTGTGCAGCCGGCCACACCTGCAAAAACAACCCTGACATTCAGTGTGGATACTGTGTGTGGAGACAGTGTGTGGATACTGTGTGTGGAGACAGTGTGTGGAGACTGTGTGGAGACAGTGTGTGGAGAAAGTGTGTGGAGATGTTGTGGAGACAGTGTGTGGAGATGGTGTGGAGACGTGTGGACTGTTTGTGGACTGTGGAGACTGTGTGTGGAGACAGTGTGTGGAGATGGTGTGGAGACGTTGTGTGGACAGTGTGTGGACTGTGTGTGGAGACAGTGTGTGGAGACTGTGTGACGAGATGGTGTGGAGACATTGTGTGGACTGTGTATGGACTGTGGAGACTGTGTGGAGACAGTGTGTGGAGACTGTGTGTGGAGATTGTGTGGAGACAGTGTGTGGAGATCGTGTGGAGACTGTGTGTGGACTGTGTGGAGACAGTGTGTGGAGACTGTGTGTGGAGATGGTGTGGAGACAGTGTGTTGAGACTGTGTGTGGAGATGGTGTGGAGACAGTGTGTGGACTGTGTGGACTGTGTGGAGACTGTGTGTGGAGACAGTGTGTGGAGATGGTGTGGAGACAGTGTGTGGAGATCGTGTGGAGACAGTGTGTGGAGACTGTGTGTGAAGACAGTGTGTGGAGACAGTGTGTGGAAATCGTGTGGAGACTGTGTGAAGACTGTGTGGAGACTGTGTGTGGAGATGGTGTGGAGACAGTGTGTGGAGATCGTGTGGAGACTGTGTGTGGAGATGGTGTGGAGACAGTGTGTGGACTGTGTGGACTGTGTGGAGACAGTGTGTGGAGATGGTGTGGAGACAGTGTGTGGAGATCGTGTGGAGACTGTGTGTGGAGACTGTGTGTGAAGACTGTGTGTGGAGACTGTGTGGAGACAGTGTGTGGAGATGGTGTGTGGAGATGGTGTGGAGACTGTGTGGAGACAGTGTGTGGAGACTGTGTGTGGAGACAGTGTGTGGAGACTGTGTGTGGAGACTGTGTGTGAAGACTGTGTGTGGAGACTGTGTGGAGACAGTGTGTGGAGATGGTGTGTGGAGATGGTGTGGAGACTGTGTGGAGACAGTGTGTGGAGACTGTGTGTGGAGACAGTGTGTGGAGACAGTGTGTGGACTGTGTGGAGACTGTGTGGAGATTGTGTGGAGACAGTGTGTGGAGATGGTGTGGAGACTGTGTGTGAAGACTGTGTGTGAAGACTGTGTGTGGAGACTGTGTGGAGACTGTGTGTGGAGATGGTGTGGAGACAGTGTGTGGAGATGGTGTGGAGACAGTGAGTGGAGATGGTGTGTGGAGACAGTGAGTGGAGATGGTGTGGAGACTGTGTGTGGAGACTGTGTGTGGAGACAGTGAGTGGACTGTGTGGAGACTGTGTGTGGAGATGGTGTGGAGACAGTGAGTGGAGATGGTGTGGAGACTGTGTGTGGAGACTGTGTGTGGAGACAGTGAGTGGAGATGGTGTGGAGACTGTGTGTGGAGACTGTGTGTGGAGACTGTGTGTGGAGACTGTGTGGAGACTGTGTGTGGAGATGGTGTGGAGACAGTGTGTGGAGATTGTGTGGAGACTGTGTTTGGAGATGGTGTGGACTGTGTGGAGACTGTGTGTGGAGATGGTGTGGAGACAGTGAGTGGAGATGGTGTGGAGACTGTGTGTGGAGACTGTGTGTGGAGTCCGTTAGTTGAGACTGTAGGGTTTGTCTGTGAGTGAGGACTGTGTGTTGAGTCTTTGTGTGAAGATTGTGTGTGAAGAATATGCATATATGTAAGCAAACAATCACAAATTAACTGGGTAATGGAGATGGATTTTTCAACCCCTCAAGAAGGAGGTCTCTGTGAATACAGCTGCAGTTTCCTCCAAGTGAATGCTTATTTAGTATATGAGGTGTTGCAGATTTCCTTACCTTGTAATTTGTCATCAGAATTGTAAGGTAGTCCTGAAAAAGGAAACACAAACAATGAATAGACTGAATGCTCTTCAGCACAGCTTCATGTCTACTCCACAGTGTAGTCCATATTGTTGTGTAACTGACAGAATACAACACATATTGTACTGTAACTGACGCAATACAACACATATTGCCGTGTAACTGACAGAATACAACACATATTGTCCTGTAACTGACAGAATACAACACATATTGCCGTGTAACTGACACAATACAACACATATTGTCCTGTAACTGACAGAATACAACACATATTGTCCTGTAACTGACAGAATACAACACATATTGTCCTGTAACTGACGCAATACAACACATATTGTACTGTAACTGACGCAATACAACACATATTGTTGTGTAACTGACGCAATACAACACATATTGTCCTGTAACTGACAGAATACAACACATATTGTCCTGTAACTGACGCAATACAACACATATTGTACTGTAACTGACACAATACAACACATATTGCCGTGTAACTGATGCAATACAACACATATTGTACTGTAACTGACACAATACAACACATATTGCCGTGTAACTGATGCAATACAACACATATTGTACTGTAACTGACACAATACAACACATATTGCCATGTAACTGATGGAATACAACACATATTGCCGTGTAACTGATGCAATACAACACATATTGTTGTGTAACTGACGCAATACAACACATATTGCCGTGTAACTGATGCAATACAACACATATTGTACTGTAACTGACAGAATACAACACATATTGCCGTGTAACTGATGCAATACAACACATATTGTACTGTAACTGACAGAATACAACACATATTGCCGTGTAACTGATGCAATACAACACATATTGTACTTTTACTGACACAATACAACACATATTGCCGTGTAACTGATGCAATACAACACATATTGTACTGTAACTGACACAATACAACACATATTGCCATGTAACTGATGGAATACAACACATATTGTACTGTAACTGACACAATACAACACATATTGCCATGTAACTGATGCAATACAACACATATTGTACTGTAACTGACACAATACAACACATATTGCCATGTAACTGATGGAATACAACACATATTGCCGTGTAACTGATGCAATACAACACATATTGTTGTGTAACTGACGCAATACACCACATATTGTACTGTAACTGACAGAATACAAGACATATTGTCCTGTAACTGACAGAATACAACACATATTGTTCTGTAACTGACAGAATACAACACATATTGTCGTGTAACTGATGCAATACAACACATATTGTACTGTAACTGACACAATACAACACATATTGCCATGTAACTGATGGAATACAACACATATTGCCGTGTAACTGATGCAATACAACACATATTGCCGTGTAACTGATGCAATACAACACATATTGTACTGTAACTGACACAATACAACACATATTGCCGTGTAACTGATACAATACAACACATATTGTACTGTAACTGACGCAATACAACACATATTGCCGTGTAACTGATGCAACACAACACATATTGTTGTGTAACTGACGCAATACACCACATATTGTCCTGTAACTGACAGAATACAAGACATATTGTCCTGTAACTGACAGAATACAACACATATTGTCCTGTAACTGACAGAATACAACACATATTGTACTTTAACTGACAGAATACAACACATATTGTCGTGTAACTGACACAATACAACACATATTGTCCTGTAACTGACAGAATACAACACATATTGCCATGTAACTGATGCAATACAACACATATTGTACTTTAACTGACAGAATACAACACATATTGCCGTGTAACTGACAGAATACAACACATATTGCCATGTAACTGATGCAATACAACACATATTGTACTGTAACTGACACAATACAACACATATTGCCGTGTAACTGATGTAATACAACACATATTGTACTTTAACTGACAGAATACAACACATATTGTCGTGTAACTGACAGAATACAACACATATTGCCATGTAACTGATGCAATACAACACATATTGTACTGTAACTGACAGAATACAACACATATTGTTGTGTAACTGACGCAATACACCACATATTGTACTTTAACTGACAGAATACAACACATATTGTCGTGTAACTGACAGAATACAACACATATTGCCATGCAACTGACAGAATACAACACATATTGCCATGTAACTGATGCAATACAACACATATTGTACTGTAACTGACACAATACAACACAAATTGCCATGTAACTGACGCAATACAACACATATTGTGGCAGGCAGTTGTATATATTGTATATGTATATTTCAGCTTTTTATATTTTTTACTTTGGGTCCATTTCAGGTTGATTGACCATTAGTTGTCGATGGTCAAGTGTCATGCACTTGGCTAGTTTTCACTTCTTCTCTATTAGGTCTTAGGTATTTCAGTTTAAGGGTGGACAGGTTATTCCATTCTCTTTTCTATTGTTTCTTGACCCGTCCATTGTTTAATACAATAGCCTTGGCCAGTCAGCTTGGCCTTATGCAACTCTACCTTTCTCTTCCCCCTCTAATACACTGAAGCTTACACTGCCACTAACTCTGCACGACTAAGGACAAGGAAAGCAATAGTGCCAAGGTCTCACTATACATGCATGTCGCTGCTGTGGGCAGGGACAGACACACCCCAGTACATCCACAGGGGTGAAAACCTTGTCCGTATATCATCGCCATATGACTGTCGGGGACAGAAATAAATACCTCCCAACCCGCAGACTGTCTTTTTTTAATGTTCCATCTACTGCACTATACCCCTCTGCAACGTATTGTCCTGTAACTGACAGAATAAAACACATATTGTCCTCTAACTGACCAAATACAGAATACAAAAAGTAATGCATAGCCAAATTCAAAGACATTAATGCACATTTCTTTTTCAAATATGCCTTTCTTGTTTGAGAAGCATATCTTTTAGCACAGTCAGCATGTTTTATTGAGAGGACAACCAGACTGTATTTAAACGTAATACAAATGTGGTTTTCCTTTCATATCGTGCCATGATGGACATCCAACACACCGGAAGGCTACAGTTTATAAGATACAGCTTCCCTGGTCTATTGACTCAATTACACATACATATTTCTTCAAGACAATAATCTACAAACATGACCAAATGACTTTGTAATTGTTTTACATGCAAGCTTAAGCATTATTAGCATTATGTTGCTTGTTTTGTGAGCGTCTCAGGAAAATGCCCACAAGAGACTATCAAGTGTGACAAAAGTTATGGTAGGACGGAGGGACTCCGGAGTTAATAAGTCAATAAATGGATGGTCAGGTCCAGACGTGATCACGTATACGCTGCTGCCAACACACTACAGACTACACTTCCTACAGTGTGATGTACCTGTTTGACCTTCTGCTTGATGTCGTGGAAACTGTCCCCTCGGAACGCTGCCATTCCAGTCAGAAACACCATTAGGACTTGAGGAGCGAAGAAAGACTGAAAACAGAGCAAACCAAGTTACACTTCCAACATGGCACCTGGCCAGGTGTCCCTGCAGGTGTGGACTTCAGGCACCCACAGAACTCCATTCTCATTATAACCTACATATACACGGCTGATGTGTTTTTCAATAACAGGAATGCAGGAATGTGCGTCCAGAATGCACAAATACATGGAATGGACGCAGAAAAAAATATATATTGCATCTTAAGGGAGCCACAGTAACATTAATTGTACCAAAATTATTGACAAGAAATATAAAGTTCCTATAATAAAAGTAATGATTAGATCTAACAGTTCAGTACACTGAGTATACACCGTTTCATTACTCCTATTTCCAGTCACGACCCATGAAATCAAAAATTGGGGGTCTGGTGTTAATGAATAATAGTCGTTTGTCAATAATGGTGGCGTTTATCAGTAACACTGGTATTAGTGAATAATAGTTGTTTGTCAATAATAGAGGCGTTTGTTAATAACACTGGTATTAATGTATATTAGTTGTTTGTCACAAATAGTTGTGTTTGTCAGTAACACTGGTGTTAGTGAATAATAGTTGTTTGTCAATAATAGTGGCGTTTGTCAATAACACTTGTGTTAGTGAATAATAGTTGTTTGTCACAAATAATGGCGTTTGTCAGTAACACTGGTGTTAGTGAATAATAGTTGTTTGTCAATAATAGTGGCGTTTGTCATTAACACTGCTGTTAGTGAATAATACTTGTTTGTCAATAATAGTGGCGTTTGTCAATAACACTGCTGTTAGTGTATAATAGTTGTTTGTCACAAGTAGTTGTGTTTGTCAATAACACTGGTGTTAGTGAATAATAGTTGTTTGTCACAAATAGTTGTGTTTGTCAATAACACTGGTGTTAGTGAATAATAGTTGTTTGTCAATAATAGCGGCGTTTGTCAATAACACTGGTGTTAGTGAATAATAGTTGTTTGTCAATAATAGTGGCGTTTGTCAGTAACACTTGTGTTAGTGAATAATAGTTGTTTGTCAATAATAGTGGCGTTTGTCAGTAACACTGGTGTTAGTGAATAATAGTTGTTTGTCACAAATAGTTGTGTTTGTCAATAACACTGGTGTTAGTGAATAATAGTTGTTTGTCAATAATAGTGGCGTTTGTCAATAACACTTGTGTTAGTGTATAATAGTTGTTTGTCAATAAAAGAGGCGTTTGTCAAAAACACTGCTGTTAGTGTATAATAGTTGTTTGTTAATAATAGTGGAGTTTGTCAAAAACACTGGTTTTAGTGAATAATAGTTGTTTGTCAATTATAGCGGCGTTTGTCAATAACACTGGTATTAGTGAATAATAGTTGTTTGTCAATAATAGTGGCGTTTGTCAGTAACACTTGTGTTAGTGAATAATAGTTGTTTGTCAATAATAGTGGCGTTTGTCAATAACACTTGTGTTAGTGAATAATAGTTGTTTGTCACAAATAATGGCGTTTGTCAGAAACACTGGTGTTAGTGAATAATAGTTGTTTGTCAATAATAGTGGCGTTTGTTAATAACACTGCTGTTAGTGTATAATAGTTCTTTGTCACAAGTAGTTGTGTTTGTCAATAACACTGGTGTTAGTGAATAATAGTTGTTTGTCAATAAAAGTGGTGTTTGTCAGTAACACTTGTGTTAGTGAATAATAGTTGTTTGTCACTAATAGCGGCGTTTGTCAATAACACTGCTGTTAGTGTACAATAGTTGTTTGTCAATAATAGTGGCGTTTGTCAATAACACTGGTGTTAGAGAATTATAGTTGTTTGTCAATAATAGTGGCGTTTGTCAATAACACTGCTGTTAGTTTATAATAGTTGTTTGTTAATAATAGTGGAGTTTGTCAAAAACACTGGTTTTAGTGAATAATAGTTGTTTGTCAATAATAGCGGCGTTTGTCAATAACACTGGTGTTAGTGTATAATAGTTGTTTGTCAATAATAGTGGCGTTTGTCAATAACACTGGTATTAATGTATAATAGTTGTTTGTCACAAAAAGTTGTGTTTGTCAGTAACACTGGTATTAGTGAATAATAGTTGTTTGTCAATAATAGTGGCGTTTGTCAGTAACACTTGTGTAAGTGAATAATAGTTGTTTGTCAATAATAGTGGCGTTTGTCAATAACACTGGTGTTAGTGAATAATAGTTGTTTGTCAATAATAGCGGCGTTTGTCAATAACACTGGTGTTAGTGAATAATAGTTGTTTGTCAATAATAATGGCGTTTGTCAATAACACTGGTGTTAGAGAATTATAGTTGTTTGTCAATAATAGTGGCGTTTGTCAATAACACTGCTGTTAGTGTATAATAGTTGTTTGTCAATAATAGTGGCGTTTGTCAATAACACTGGTGTTAGTGAATTATAGTTGTTTGTCAATAATAGTGGCGTTTGTCAATAACACTGCTGTTAGTGTATAATAGTTGTTTGTTAATAACAGCGGAGTTTGTCAAAAACACTGGTTTTAGTGAATAATAGTTGTTTGTCAATAATAGCGGCGTTTATCAGTAACACTGGTATTAGTGAATAATAGTTGTTTGTCAATAATAGAGGCAATTGTTAATAACACTGGTATTAATGTATAATAGTTGTTTGTCACAAATAGTTGTGTTTGTCAGTAACACTGGTATTAGTGAATAATAGTTGTTTGTCAATAATAGTGGCGTTTGTCAGTAACACTTGTGTTAGTGAATAATAGTTGTTTGTCAATAATAGTGGCGTTTGTCAATAACACATGTGTTAGTGAATAATAGTTGTTTGTCACAAATAATGGCGTTTGTCAGAAACACTGGTGTTAGTGAATAATAGTTGTTTGTCAATAATAGTGGCGTTTGTTAATAACACTGCTGTTAGTGTATAATAGTTGTTTGTCACAAGTAGTTGTGTTTGTCAATAACACTGGTGTAAGTGAATAATAGTTGTTTGTCACAAATAGTTGTGTTTGTCAATAACACTGGTGTTAGTGAATAATAGTTGTTTGTCAATAATAGCGGCGTTTGTCAATAACACTGGTGTTAGTGAATAATAGTTGTTTGTCAATAATAGTGGCGTTTGTCAATAACACTGCTGTTAGTGTATAATAGTTGTTTGTCAATAATAGTGGCGTTTGTCAATAACACTGGTGTTAGTGAATAATAGTTGTTTGGCAATAATAGTGGCGTTTGTCAATAACACTGGTGTTAGTGAATAATAGTTGTTTGTCAATAATAGTGGCGTTTGAGGCTGAATTTAACCCCAATCCAGGTTGTTTAACAATCCTTAAAAAGACAACAGAATTATATTTTACATAGAAATACTCAATAACATATCTTATTTTGTTTGTAATATACTGTTGCTTCACAGCTCACCCTAGATGAGAACCTTCATACAAAATCTGAATTATATTCAACTTCACAAACCAGCTGAATCTATCTAGTTGGGCCAAGCAGGAGGAGTCTTGCTGCCAACACTTGACTTGGAGGATACAGCATGCAGCAGAAGTGTTGAGAGAGTGAGTGAGTTGGGTTTAACACAGCTTTTAACAGTATTCCAGTTATAGCACGGCGTGTCAGCTTAATATGGGAGGAAAGCCCGAAGTGATGCAGGTCTCAGACGTTTACCACTTCGGTGAAACCCACGAGCAGGGGCATGGTGCTGACAAACCTAGAAACATAATTGGGCGCTTTATGTTTGTTTTATCATCTGACAGTTTGAAGTATTGCCACACAGTTGAACATTGTTGTCCAGTGTGGCTAAGAAAGGGAGTTAACTAAGAGATAACTCTTAGAGTACTTGAGTACTTGGGTCACTGTTTCATCCGTAGTTTGATATTATAAAAAAATTCTATTATTATGTTTAGTTTAGTTAAGTAGTATCTGACACCACACATCCCAGCCATTAATCATCATCATCATCATCATCATCATCACTGGACTCACCTGATCTGCAAGCATCATTTTGATTGGTGCCGCCTTCTTCCCAATGAAGAGTCGATCTAGATTCATGTACCATCCACGGAGTGCTGGTCCCTACCACACAAGCAGATGTTCATACCTGGCTACAACTGTCAAGTTCACAATGTTTGTTTGTTTGTTGTTTAACGCCAAACTCAGAAATATTCCAGCTACATGACAGCGGTCTGTAAATAATTGAGTCTTGACCAGACAATACAGTGATTGACATCATAAGCATTGATCCATGCAATTGGGATACGATGACATGCATCAACCAAGTCAGCAGGCCTGACCACCTGATCCCGTTAGTCTCCTCTAAGACAAACATGTCGCCTTTTATGGCAAGCATGGGTTGCTGAAGACCTAGTCTGACCCAGGTCTTCACGGGTCAGTTCAGAAAGTAATTGTCCTGATGTTATATTTCATCAATCGTATTTAATCTGAACAGGACAGTGCTTGACACTGTAATTGTAAATACTGTAACTTTAGTGTTTCCCATGGATACATCACAGACAGGGTAAAGGTATTACTTCCAGATGACTGGCAACAGACAGCCTTCTACCATCAATATGTGACATCAGCAGCAGAAACAGTACCTGGGCACAACTTATTCCCAGTTCACAATTGATTACATCAGTGAACTCGTTGTGCTGTCCTGGAGGCATATTGCATTCAACACTGTTTCAACACTGAATGTTGCTTTTTGTCATACATACACAGAGTTCCAGGTGTGAGACTTACGATGACGACCGTGCCAAACACCAGGAAGCGGGCACTCCTGGCCAGGTCATAGTCCCTCAGTTCTGTCTTCTCCACCACCAACTGACTGATTCCATCACCAGCCATCATCAGGGTGCCTGCAGCCACACACAGAACACACAAGGTAGTTCACACACAGAACACACAAAGTACTTCGACACACAGAACACACAAGGTAGTTCGTCACACAGAACACACAAAGTGCTTCGACACACAGAACACACAAAGTACTTCGACACACAGAACACACAAGGTAGTTCGACACACAGAACACACAAGGTAGTTCACACACAGAACACACAAAGTACTTCGACACACAGAACACACAAAGTACTTCGACACACAGAACACACAAAGTACTTCGACACACAGAACACACAAGGTAGTTCGTCACACAGAACACACAAAGTACTTCGACACACAAAACACACAAAGTACTCCAACACACAGAACACACAAAGTACTTCGACACACAGAACACACAAAGTACTTCGACACACAGAACACACAAGGTATTTCGACATACAGAACACACAAGGTAGTTCGACACACAGAACACACAAATTAGTTCGACACACAGAACACACAAAGTACTTCGACACACAGAACACACAAGGTATTTCGTCACACAGAACACACAAAGTACTTCGACACACAAAACACACAAAGTACTCCAACACACAGAACACACAAAGTACTTCGACACACAGAACACACTAAGTACTCCAAAACACAAAGTAGTTTGACACACAGAACACACAAAGTACTTCGACACTCAAAACACACAAAGTACTCCAACACACAGAACACACAAAGTACTTCAACACACAGAACACACAAAGTACTTCGACACACAGAACACACAAAGTACTTCGACATACAGAACACACAAAGTAGTTCGACACAGAACACACAAAGTACTTCGACACACAGAACACACAAAGTAGTTTGACACACAGAACACACAAAGTACTCCAACATACAGAACACACAAAGTACTTCGACACACAGAACACACAAGGTAGTTCATCACACAGAACACACAAAGTACTTCGACACACAAAACACACAAAGAACTCCAACACACAGAACACACAAAGTACTTCGACACACAAAACACACAAAGTACTCCAAAACACAAAGTAGTTTGACACACAGAACACACAAAGTACTTCGACACACAGAACACACAAAGTAGTTGGACACACAGAATACACAAAGTACTTCGACACACAGAACACACAAAGTACTTTGACACTCAGAACACACAAAGTACTTCGACACACAAAACACACAAAGCACTCCAACACACAGAACACACAAAGAACTCCAACACACAGAACACTCAAAGTACTTCTACACACAGAACACACAAAGTAGTTAGACATACAGAACACACAAAGTACTCCAACACACAGAACTCACAAAGTATTTCGACACACAGAACACACAAAGTACTCCAACACACAGAACACACAAAGTATTTCGACACACAGGAACACAAGGTAGTTTGACATACAGAACACACAAAGTACTTCGACACACAGGAACACAAGGTAGTTCGACATACAGAACACACAAAGTACTTCAACACACAGAACACACAAAGTTGTTTGATGCACAGAACACACAAAGTACTCCAATACACAGAACACACAAAGTACTTCAACACACAGAACACACAAAGTTGTTTGATGCACAGAACACACAAAGTACTCCAATACACAGAACACACAAAGTAGTTTGACACACAAAACACACAAAGTACTCCAACACACAGAACACACAAAGTACTTCGACACACAGAACACACTAAGTACTCCAAAACACAAAGTAGTTTGACACACAGAACACACAAAGTACTTCGACATACAGAACACACAAAGTAGTTCGACACAGAACACACAAAGTACTTCGACACACAGAACACACAAAGTAGTTTGACACACAGAACACACAAAGTACTCCAACACACAGAACACACAAAGTACTTCGACACACAGAACACACAAGGTAGTTCGACACACAGAACACACAAAGTACTTTGACACACAGAACATATCCTCGTATATTGCAACATGGAGCCTTTGACACAAGTCCAACCTTATTTGAAAACAAACTGAGATCACACTTTTTCTTGAGGCAAGTATAACTACCTTAACTCTAGCACACATATGAACTCTACCACACATATGAACTCCAGGACACACATGAACTCCAGGACACATATGAACTCTAGGACACACATATATGAACTCTCAAACACATGAAAACTCTAAGACACATATGAACTCTAGGACACACCTTTGAACTCTAGGACACACACACGAACTCTAGCACACATATGAACTCTAGCACACACACGAACTCTAGGACACACACATGAACTCTACCACACATATGAACTCTAGGACACACACATGAACTCTACCACACATATGAACTCTAGGACACACACATGAACTCTACCAAACACACGAACTCTACCACACATATGAACTCCAGGACACATATGAACTCCAGGACACATATGAACTCTAGCACACATATGAACTCTAGCACACATATGAACTCTAGCACACACATGAACTCTACCACACACATGAACTCTACCACACACATGAACTCTAGCACTCACATGAACTCTAGGACACACACATGAACTCTAGCACACACATGAACTCTAGCACACACATGAACTCTAGCACACACATGAACTCTACCACACACATGAACTCAAGGACACACATGAACTCTAGCACTCACATGAACTCTAGGACACACATGAACTCTAGCACACACATGAACTCTAGCACTCACATGAACTCTAGGACACACATGAACTCTAGCACTCACATGAACTCTAGCACACACATGAACTCTAGGACACACATGAACTCTAGCACTCACATGAACTCTACCACACACATGAACTCTAGCACACACATGAACTCTAGCACACACATGAACTCTAGCACACACATGAACTCTAGCACTCACATGAACTCTAGCACACACATGAACTCTAGCACTCACATGAACTCTAGCACACACACATGAACTCTAGCACACACATGAACTCTAGCACACACATGAACTCTAGCACTCACATGAACTCTAGCACACACACATGAACTCTAGCACTCACATGAACTCTAGCACTCACATGAACTCTAGCACACACACATGAACTCTAGCACACACATGAACTCTAGCACACACATGAACTCTAGCACACACATGAACTCTAGGACACACATGAACTCTAGCACTCACATGAACTCTAGCACACACACATGAACTCTAGCACACACATGAACTCTAGCACACACATGAACTCTAGCACTCACATGAACTCTAGCACTCACATGAACTCTAGCACACACATGAACTCTAGCACTCACATGAACTCTAGGACACACATGAACTCTAGCACACACACATGAACTCTAGCACTCACATGAACTCTAGCACTCACATGAACTCTAGCACACATATGAACTCTAGCACTCACATGAACTCTAGCACACACATGAACTCTAGCACACACATGAACTCTAGCACACACATGAACTCTAGCACACACATGAACTCTAGCACACACACATGAACTCTAGCACACACATGAACTCTAGCACACACATGAACTCTAGCACACACATGAACTCTAGCACTCACATGAACTCTAGGACACACATGAACTCTAGCACACACATGAACTCTAGGACACACACATGAACTCTAGGACACACATGAACTCAAGGACACACATGAACTCTAGCACTCACATGAACTCTAGGACACACATGAACTCCAGGACAACCTAATACGAGGGATAGCCCAGCTAACAATTTCATATTTAATCTGATCATATTTAAGATTATTCTTAAAATATAAAGTCCTTGATAGCATAGTAAACATATACTATTTGAAATATATTATATTATATATGAGCTTATTGTCTGAGAATCAGATGTATAAATAACAAGTCTTTGATAGTGTCTTTAAGTGTGATCTATTCAAATAACAAGTGCGTTTGCTTCGATTTCGTCTCTAGTTTTAAACGAATTACGTCTACTCCAATTGTAAGTGAGTTAAGCCCAGCTTGTCGGCTAGGTCTCAGTTGGAGTTACCTGTAGTGGCGCATGTTGTCCTCCACGGGTACTTGTTGAGAACCCGGAGATACGATCGCCATAACCCCGCCATTCTTAACGTGTAGCAGAGTATTTTTGACCTGTCATCAGCTATAGACCTCTATTCTCACACCCCCAGAGCGACTGACGATGGCATGGCCGTTTCTGGGCTCGTGGTAGCTCGAGTTCATATGCGCATGCGTGTAGCAGCCGACAACTCGACGCGATGCCCCAGAACTCTCACGGCGCAAATAAATTTTGTAGCATATCTTGTTTGTTTGTTGTTCAACTCCGCACTCAGCAATATTCCGGCTATATGGCGGCGCTCTGCAAATAATCGAGTCTGGACCAGACAATCCAGTGACAGGATTAACTAAATTTTCATCCCGTCGCAGCCTGTATCACGAAGCTGGATGGCAGCCTTTAGCGTATAGAGAAAACGTCAACAAACTTGTAATTATGTATCCAATAATAAATAATCAATGTCCTTCATGTGTAACTGATCTTATACCACCATCTGTGTCACAGATCGTCAATCATAATCTCAGAAAACGCCAGGGTTTTGTTGTACCATTTGCACAGACATCTATGTTTAAAAGGTCTTATGTTATAGATACTTTTGGCCAATGGAATAATCTACCATCAGAAATAAGGGATAGTAAGTCAATATCTTCTTTTAAAGCTGTCGCATCTGAGTAGCCACCACCACCACCTATGCAGTATAAGTGCGGCAAGACATCTACAAACATATTGTACACTAGACTGAGACACAATTGTAGCACACTAAATTCCGGCCTGTTTCGTGTTAACTTACCTGACACTATTTCCTGTAAATGCGGAGCTCCTTATAAAAATTCATTTCATTTCTTCTTCGAATGTACCTTATATGATGGTTTAAGGGAGACATTACTGACAGCTATCGATAATCTTGGTGGACAAAAAACTCTACACAGTATTCTATTTGGTAGGAATATAGAAGTTTGTGTTCATAGTATTGTAGGAATAGAAACTTGTAGGAATAGACACGTTTGTATTCATAGTATTGTAGGAATATGGAAGTTTGTATTCATAGTATTGTAGGAATATGGAAGTTTTTGTTCATAGTATTGTAGGAATAGACACGTTTGTATTCATAGTATTGTAGGAATATAGAAGTTTGTGTTCATAGAATTGTAGAAAAAAGAAACATTTGTATTCATAGTATTGAAGGAATATAGAAGTTTGTGTTCATAGTATTGTAGGAATAGACACGTTTGTATTCATAGTATTGTAGGAATATGGAAGTTTATGTTCATAGTATTGAAGGAATATAGACGTTTGTGTTCATAGCATTGTAGGAATAGACACGTTTGTATTTATAGTATTGTAGGAATATAGAAGTTTGTGTTCATAGTATTGTAGGAATATAGAAGTTTGTGTTCATAGTATTGTAGGAATATAGAAGTTTGTGTTCATAGTATTGTAGGAATATAGAAGTTTGTATTCATAGTATTGTAGGAATAGAAACGTTTGTATTCATAGTATTGTAGGAATAGACACGTTTGTATTCATAGTATTGTAGGAATATGGAAGTTTGTATTCATAGTATTGTAGGAATATGGAAGTTTGTGTTCATAGTATTGTAGGAATATGGAAGTTTGTGTTCATAGTATTGTAGGAATAGACACGTTTGTATTCATAGTATTGTAGGAATATAGAAGTTTGTGTTCATAGAATTGTAGAAATAGAAACATTTGTATTCATAGTATTGAAGGAATATAGAAGTTTGTGTTCATAGTATTGTAGGAATAGACACGTCTGTATTCATAGTATTGTAGGAATATGGAAGTTTATGTTCATAGTATTGAAGGAATATAGACGTTTGTGTTCATAGCATTGTAGGAATAGACACGTTTGTATTTATAGTATTGTAGGAATATAGAAGTTTGTGTTCATAGTATTGTAGGAATATAGAAGTTTGTGTTCATAGTATTGTAGGAATATAGAAGTTTGAGTTCATAGTATTGTAGGAATAGACACGTTTGTATTCATAGTATTGTAGGAATAGACACGTTTGTATTCATATTATTGTAGGAATATGGAAGTTTGTATTCATAGAATTGTAGGAATATGGAAGTTTGTGTTCATAGTATTGTAGGAATATGGAAGTTTGTGTTCATAGTATTGTAGGAATAGACACGTTTGTATTCATAGTATTGTAGGAATATAGAAGTTTGTGTTCATAGAATTGTAGAAATAGAAACATTTGTATTCATAGTATTGAAGGAATATAGAAGTTTGTGTTCATAGTATTGTAGGAATAGACACGTCTGTATTCATAGTATTGTAGGAATATAGAAGTTTGTGTTCATAGTATTGTAGGAATATAGAAGTTTGTGTTCATAATATTGTAGGAATATAGAAGTTTGTGTTCATAGTATTGTAGGAATAGAAACGTTTGTATTCATAGTATTGTAGGAATAGACACGTTTGTATTCATAGTATTGTAGGAATATGGAAGTTTGTATTCATAGTATTGTAGGAATATGGAAGTTTGTGTTCATAGTATTGTAGGAATATGGAAGTTTATGTTCATAGTATTGTAGGAATAGACACGTTTGTGTTCATAGTATTGTAGGAATATAGAAGTTTGTGTTCATAGAATTGTATGAATATACACGTTTGTATTCACACTATCGAAGGAATATCCAAGTTTCTATTCATAGTATTGTATGAATATGCATGTTTGTTTTTTATAGTATTATAGGAATAGACACTTTTGTATTCATAGTATTGAAGGAATATACAAGTTTGTAATAATAGTTTGAAGGAATATGGAATTTGTATTTATAGTATTGAAGGAATATACAAGTTTGTATACATGATATTGTATGAATATACAAGTTGTATTTATAGTATTCTAGGAATAGTCACGTTTAAGTGATGTGTGTTTTGGAGGTGTATATACACACCGAGCCGACCAGTCCTTGTTTTCGTCCATCAATGCAGCGCGCCAGGCAGGGTGACAACAAGTACCATCTTTAAACGTCTTTTGGTATGACGCGGCCGGGCCTCGAATCCCCGACCTTCCACTCTCCGGGAAGACTCTGTCTCCACTCCACCACGGAGGCGGTCTGATTATTTACAGACCGAAATCAGAGCGTGGCTTTACATGCGTGTGTTCCTAAGTCTATACACACTCGATCTGGTCGTGGAAGTTATCCTTGTGGACGCTGATGTCACTCATCAACAATTACCTTACATTGCAAGTTCGATCCTCAGCGCGCCTCCATTTGAAATGTAAAAGAGTGCGCCTGGTTTTAATCACGTGATATTGCCAGTAACTTGGGTGGAGCTGTATTTGAAGACAGCGGGTCATTTTTGCCAAGAAGAAAACCTTGACCTTTGACTTCTTTACATCTGGATAGATCTGTGTAAGAAATTAAATGAACTGTCATGTTGATTTTATCCATCGTATTGTGACACAGTAATACTGTAAAATCTTAAACATATCACAATTTGCGTGACTTTAAATTTCATGTAAATTGTAATATATTCATCATTATAAAATATTAAACGTGTACACAAATATTAAAGTCCTAGTTCTAAAGTAATTGTGAGCAGTAGGTAGTTCATGGACGTTGAGCGATTAGACAGCGAGAGGTGTATTTCTTTCTATTGAAGTATAACTTAGAGGGACTGAGATATTTACTGTGAAACACAACTGAACTGTAGTTTTGCTAATACTAATTTACCAGAGTGATTTTATTCCTTTCTGTATCAAAATAATCGTGTTGTCATGCCATGACAGGGTAACAACTCATGTCCATGACAGACAGTGACCGACAAGGGCGAGGCCGTCTCTATACTGCACGTGCATGCAGGTACACAGACAACACCAAAACTGCCTGTAAAGATATTTCATATTTCAAATATATTAATTGTGTAATTGCCATGGTTATTATAACAACAACTCATTAACTCCCTTTGTTGTGTTTAATTGTGAAATCCATTCGGTAGAAGAGACCCTGTTTTATGTAAACAATGTTTTTTAAATGTTTGTTGTGTGAAAACATCGAAAAACAATCACTTCGTTTCTGCAGGCAAATGCCGTGTAATGTATTACTGATTAATAATGTTGATATACACTATACGGTAATTGTGCTCACTGTGTGCTATATGTATGTTAATAGCTTGTAATATCCGGCTATTGATAACGATCTAAACACGTTTTTGTTAATTCAAGTGGCGTGATCATTTTAAAATTTGATAATTCATTTAACGTCGCGTGCGTGTGCGTGCGTGTATGTATGTGTGCGTGTATGTGTGTGCGTGCGTGCGTGCGCGCACTTGTACCTGTCCGGACTAATGCTAGCCCACTGGCGCAGTTTATCACGAATACCCCCCAGCAGCACACATCTCAGGTTAGTGAGGCAACACATTTAAGGCGTTAATACCTTTATCTGTATCTTCAGCTGTGTATCACCCATCCTTAACACATCACAGGTACCATGTATACATTCGTGGCATACCAGCAACTGGTAAGCTATTATTCTTACTAAACTTCACGCGAAAAGACATTTACGGCAAGCATGGGTTGCTGAAGACCTATTCCACCCCGGATCTTCACGGGGACAAGCATGGGTTGCTGAAGACCTATTCCACCCCGGATCTTCACGGGGACAAGCATGGGTTGCTGAAGACCTATTCCACCCCGGATCTTCACGGGGACAAGCATGGGTTGCTGAAGACCTATTCCACCCCGTATCTTCACGGGGACAAGCATGGGTTGCTGAAGACCTATTCTACCCCGGATCTTCACGGGGACAAGCATGGGTTGCTGAAGACCTATTCTACCCCGGATCTTCACGGGGACAAGCATGGGTTGCTGAAGACCTATTCCACCCCGGATCTTCACGGGGACAAGCATGGGTTGCTGAAGACCTATTCCAACCCGGATCTTCACGGGGACAAGCATGGGTTGCTGAAGACCTATTCCACCCCGGATCTTCACGGGGACAAGCATGGGTTGCTGAAGACCTATTCCACCCCGAATCTTCACGGGGACAAGCATGGGTTGCTGAAGACCTATTCTACCCCGGATCTTCACGGGGACAAGCATGGGTTGCTGAAGACCTATTCCACCCCGGATCTTCACGGGGACAAGCATGGGTTGCTGAAGACCTATTCCCCCCCGGATCTTCACGGGGACAAGCATGGGTTGCTGAAGACCTATTCCACCCCGGATCTTCACGGGTCACATATACCGTGTACAAAGTGTGTTTATACAGATGGTATAGTATTCTACATAATGTATAGACAGATGATACAGTATTTTATATAATGTGTAGACAGATGGTAAAGTATTCTACATAATGTGAAGCAGATATTATGGCATTCTACATAATGCGTAGGCTGATGGTATAGCATTCTACATGATGTGTAGGCAGATGGTATAGCATTCTACATAATGTAGAAGGCTAATGATACGCTCTAAAATTAAGTGTTGATATATAACGCAAAATTAAATGTGTCAAGAGAGAGAGAGAGAGAGAGAGAGAGAGAGAGAGAGAGAGAGAGAGAGAGAGAGAATTAACTCGATCAACGTGTACGTCATCGTCTGAACACGCATCAGACACTCCCTCAACTGGCCAACGTATTACAAGCAAAATGGTGCAGAATCCCGCAGGACAGGATTCGAACACTTATTCAGTCAGTGCCGGGGAAATGCAGAACCGTGATTGCTGCCCGGGGCGGTCACACGAAAAACTGAGTTCAGCGCAACCTTGTGGCCTTATGAGACATGACAATGAACAGTTTTCAATGCTTTTGTACAACGAAAACATGTGACTATCGAACTCCAAAATTTCATATATGTATCTATGATATTGAAATATATTAAATGTATCGACTTTATTAGGTGCTATAAATTTACTAAAAATCTGCCTGTGCAGTTCTTTTTTGTTTATCTGTCGCTGTAAACAATGCCTATAAAGGCTTTTAAATAGTGAAAAGAAATACAGGAAAACCGTGTCACGTGTAAAGCAAAGGTTTGCAATATAAAAATTAGGAATAATATAATCAGACTAAATGGTGAGAACTCAGAGTAAGGAGATTTATTCTGATGGCGTAATTATATCATCTTATGAATGTTGGACAAGAAGAGAGGTTTACATTATCAGCTTTGACAATTGCATTGGCAACTGTATCATTATTCATGAACACCATCAGACTTGGCGAATGTTTCTTGGACACTTTGTGTACAGCCTTGTTTACTTCGTCAGGTGAAAAGTCCTGCAAAATCAAATAAACAATGTAACAACCCCAGTAAGACAGAATTGTGTAGTTTTAATCTACTAAAAATATAGAAAGTATGACCTTAAGCATCAGGGTGGATGAGTGGCCCAGTCGTCTCGGTGAGTTGTGCAGAGTTGTGGGTTCAAATCCCAGTCCGCACAGATAAAGTTTCTAGGTTTGTCAGCACTCAGCACCGTGGGTTTCCTCCTCCCACATTAAGCTGACACACCGTTATATAACTGGAATAATGTTCAAAGTGGCGTTAAACTCAACTCACTCGCTTAAATATGATTTGAAGAGTCACATACAGGACAATCGAAGACATTTCTTACATACGCGGATAACTGTAAATAATTAAAGCGGTTATTCTACTCCTTCCTCTGTCATATGCACTTTCCTTTTCCATACACAGGAAGGATGAAATATCATCCTGAAGTCTCTGTGAAAAGAGAAGATATATATTTCAGAAATTTCAACAACACGACCTCAAGCGGCATCACATGATAATAATCACTGCTGAGTTGTTCCATTAAATATCAGAAAGGGAGTATACCTAGAATGTGGAGAGCCGAAACATCAGAGAGTTATTAATTTTGGAGATATAGATTTTATTGGTACATGTATATCATTAACGTTTGTATATTACACTACACTCTTTTGACATACCTCGTTTCCTTCTCCCTTTCTGTAGCGACCTCTTGATGTGAGTCAATGTTCTTTTGGGTACTGGTGCAGAGATCTTTGCCTTTAATGAGCTTCCATTTCCGCAAAGACCTGAAATAGACTGACGAATGATACTGAGTGTTAACTAAACAGTATTAACATTTTATGATGTCTGTATTCTGTAAAAGATCAAAGACTTGCGGGTTTAAGGATGGTAATAGTACAACCGTTCCGCACACGGTACAATATATTTATAGTGTTACTTTCAAAGGGTTTATTTCACATTACAATATTGAAAAAGACAACATCCAAAGATGGGATTGATGAAACATGGATCTCCAACAATATATAATGTTGCTTAACAAGACAAGCGCTCCAACAACAACATACAATGTTGCTTTACAAACCAACCACTCCAACAACAAATTCCGGCAATGCTGCTGTACAAGACAAAATCTCCAACAACAACCTACAGTGCTGCTATACAAGACAAGACTTTCCAACGACTAGCACAACAACTACAATGTTGCTATACAAGACAGGATCTCCAACAAAAACCTACAATGTTGCTATACAAGGCAAGCACCCCAACAACAACTACAATGTTGCTATACAAGGCAAGCACCCCAACAACAACTACAATGTTAATTTACAAGACAGGATCTCCAATAATAACCTACAATGTTGCTATACAAGACAAGTACTCCAACAACTTCCTACAATGTTGCTATACAAGGCAAGCACCCCAACAACAACTACAATGTTAATTTACAAGACAGGATCTCCAACAATAACCTACAATGTTGCTGTACAAGGCATGCACCCCAACAACAACTACAATGTTGCTTTACAAGACAGGATCTCCAACAATAACCTACAATGTTGCTGTACAAGGCATGCACCCCAACAAGAACTACAATGTTGCTATACAAGGCAAGCACCCCAACAACAATAACTACAATGTTGCTATACAAGACAGGATCTCCAACAATAACCTACAATGTTGCTATACAAGACAAGCACCCCAACAACAACTACAATGTTAATTTACAAGACAGGATCTCCAACAATAACCTACAATGTTGCTGTACAAGGCATGCACCCCAACAACATCTACAATGTTGCTTTACAAGACAGGATCTCCAACAATAACCTACAATGTTGCTGTACAAGGCATGCACCCCAACAAGAACTACAATGTTGCTATACAAGGCAAGCACCCCAACAACAATAACTACAATGTTGCTATACAAGACAGGATCTCCAACAATAACCTACAATGTTGCTATACAAGACAAGCACCCCAACAACAACTACAATGTTAATTTACAAGACAGGATCTCCAACAATAACCTACAATGTTGCTGTACAAGGCATGCACCCCAACAACAACTACAATGTTGCTTTACAAGACAGGATCTCCAACAATAACCTACAATGTTGCTATACAAGGCAAACACCCCAACAACAACTACAATGTTAATTTACAAGACAGGATCTCCAATAATAACCTACAATGTTGCTGTACAAGACAAGCACCCCAACAACAACTACAATGTTGCTATACAAGACAGGATCTCCAACAATAACCTACAATGTTGCTATACAAGGCATGCACCCCAACAAGAACTACAATGTTGCCATACAAGGCAAGGACCCCAACAACAATAACTACAATGTTGCTATACAAGACAGGATCTCCAACAATAACCTACAATGTTGCTATACAAGACAAGCACCCCAACAAGAACTACAATGTTGCTATACAAGGCAAGCACCCCAACAACAATAACTACAATGTTGCTATACAAGACAGGATCTCCAACAACAACACCTACAATGTTGCTATACAAGACAAGCACCCCAACAACAACTACAATGTTGCTATACAAGGCAAGCACCCCAACAACAACAACTACAATGTTGCTATACAAGACAAGCACCCCAACAACAATAACTACAATGTTGCTATACAAGACAGGATCTCCAACAATAACCTACAATGTTGCTATACAAGACAAGCACTCAAGCAACATCCTACAATGTTGCTATACAAGGCAAGCACTCCAACAACAACTACAATGTTGCTATACAAGACAGGATCTCCAACAATAACCTACAATGTTGCTTTACAAGACAAGCACTCCAACAACAACAACTACAATGTTGCTATACAAGGCAATCACTCCAACAACAAGAACTACAATGTTGCTATACAAGACAGGATCTCCAACAATAACCTACAATGTTGCTATACAAGACAAGCACTCCAACAACAACAACTACAATGTTGCTATACAAGGCAAGCACTCCAACAACAACAACTACAATGTTGCTATACAAGACAAGCACTCCAACAACAACAACTACAATGTTGCTATACAAGACAGGATCTCCAACAATAACCTACAATGTTGCTATACAAGACAAGCACTCAAGCAACATACCTACAATGTTGCTATACAAGGCAAGCACTCCAACAACCTCCAACTATGTAGCTATACAAGACAGGATCTCCAATAACAACCTACGGTGTTGCTACACAAGACAAGATATCCAACAACAACCTTTAATGTTGCTGTACAAGACAATCACTCCAACCCGGTGTGCACTGACCCGAATGCGGATTGTATTTTCAACACAGTGTACGTACACTCACGCACACACACGCACACGCACCCACCCACACACACACACACACACACACACACACACACACACAGAGACAGACGTTAAAAGATGGTACTTGTTGTTACCCTGTCTGGCGCTTGGTATTAAGGGGCTAAACCAAGGAACTGGTCGGCTCGGAGTCAGTATACTGTGTCTGAGTGGGGTATCCATGTTAAACTGCGGCATGGTATCTCAGTGTGCTAGCACTATAAATCGGCATCAGTCCGGAGTAGTACAAGCAGCCACACACACGTGCATGCACGTCGCTATATAAATGCAATAATCTTGGACGCGACGTTAAACCCCATTTCACCTCACCCCACCATCGGGAAGAATATATCGGGGGATTCCGACACTGATAGAAACGTCCGTAAAATATATTCGAGGCCCCAGAACGTCTCTTGTACACCATTTATTGTCTCCCCTTGGGTTAGGCTTAGGGGTTAGGGGGTTCAAGGATCAGTACTCCTATAACAACCTACAGTATTGCTATCCATAACAAGCACTCCAACAACAACCTATGGTGTTGCCATACAAGACAAGCACTCAAGCAGCGTCCCACAATGTTGCTTTACAAGACAATATTTCCAACAACATCCTAAGGTGTTGCTATACAAGACATGCACTCAAGCAGTGTCCTACAATGTTGCTATACAAGACCTGCACTCAAGCAGTGTCCCACAATGTTGCTTTACAAGACAAGATCTCCAACAGCATCCTACGGTGTTGCTATACAAGACATGCACTCAAGCAACGTCCCACAATGTTGCTTTACAAGACAAGATCTCCAACAACATCCCACGGTGTTGCTATACAAGACATGCACTCAAGCAACGTCCCACAAAGTTGCTATACAAGACCTGCACTCAAGCAGTGTCCCACAATGTTGCTTTGCAAGACACTATCTCCAACAACATCCTATGGTGTTGCTATGCAAGACATGCACTCAAGCAGTGTCCCACAATGTTACTTTACAAGACACTATCTCCAACAACATCCCACGGTGTTGCTATACAAGACATGCACTCAAGCAACGTCCCACAAAGTTGCTTTACAAGACACTATCTCCAACAACATCCCACGGTGTTGCTATACAAGACACGCACCCCAACCACAACTACAATGTTAATTTACAAGACAGGATCTCCAACAATAACCTACAATGTTGCTATACCAGACAAGTACTCCAACAACTTCCTACAATGTTGTTTTACAAGACAATATGTCCAACAACTTCCTACAATGTTGCTTTAAAATGCAAGATATCCAACAACAACCTACAATGTTGCTATACAAGACATGCACTCAAGCAACGTCCCACAAAGTTGCTTTACAAGACAAGATCTACAACATCATCCCACGGTGTTGCTATACAAGACAAGCACTCAAGCAGTGCCACACAATGTTGCTACACAATACAAGATATCCAACAACATCCTACGGTGTTGCTATACAAGACAAGAAGTCCAACAACATCCTACGGTGTTGCTACACAAGGCAAGCGCTCCAACAACAACCTACAGTGTTGCTATACAAGACAAGATGTCCAACAAAATCCTACGGTGTTGCTACACAAGGCAAGCGCTCCAACAACAACCTACGGTGTTGCTATACAAGACAAGATGCCCAACAACATCCCACAGTGTTGCTACACAAGGCAAGCGCTCCAACAACAACCTACGGTGTTGCTATACAAGACAAGATGTCCAACAACATCCTACGGTGTTGCTACACAAGGCAAGCGCTCCAACAACAACCTACGGTGTTGCTATACAAGACAAGATGCCCAACAACATCCCACAGTGTTGCTATACAAGACAAGCACTCAAGCAGTGCCACACAATGTTGCTACACAATACAAGATATCCAACAACATCCTACGGTGTTGCTACACAAGGCAAGCGCTCCAACAACAACCTACGGTGTTGCTATACATGACAAGATGTCCAACAACATCCTACGGGGTTACTACACAAGGCAAGCGCTCCAACAACAACCTACGGTGTTGCTTTACCAGAGAGATGTCCAACAACTTTCTACAACGTTGCTTTATAATACAAGATCTCCAAAGACTTCCTACAATTCTGCTTTACAATACAAGATCACCAATAACTGCCTACAATGTTGCTATACAAAGCGAGCACTCCAACAACAACTTCCTACAATGTTGCTATACAAGACAAGATCTCAAACCATAACCTACAATGCTGTTATTGACCTTTTTCACACTTCGCTACTTCCGGTTTGAAAGCGAGGCTTGGAGAGCAGACAGTGAAGGCCGGATAACACATAAAAAACACATAGAGATGTCAACAAGGCACGCAATCGGGACAAACTGTGACAATTTAACCATCCCGGTACATTTATCGTAAGTATGGAACATTATTCTTATTCTTATCATTGACAAACTATTCAACTGTTATCTGGTCTCCTTACCCATATAAATTTGAGTCTGGCCGTTCTGTTGTGATTTCATTTTAAAATATCCATGACCACCCGGTAACTCCCAGTGCAGTTTATGGTAGCTGAACAGACTTAATACAAATGCTACTGAGATCTTGTAAAGAATAATTCATTGTTTACACACCATTAAGCCAAACTATTTATTGTGAGTTTAAATAACTTTGCGGGTTGTATTTGAAGTCAAAATACTGACCTTTTGACCGTATCTAGTTATATGTCAGAAACTAACTAAAATGATATGTTAATATAATGTATCAAATTGTAACCTACTGAGAATTTACAATCGTAACAAATCAGAATTTTGCATCAGTTGCGTATTTGATGTAAATTGTAATGGACTCAAATGCATTTCAATAAAATATTAGACCTCTAGATCTACTTGTGCTGTCGATATTGTGAAAGTTGTTATTTTGATTCTCAATGTTGACAGATTAGATACCATGAGGTGTAATATTTCAACTGTATTGTTACATAAAAGGTGTTTAAATATTTGAAGCAAAGTACAGTTTGATCTGCAATTTTGTAAACAATATTTCTACCAAAATGATATTTACTTTACTGTACTAAATTAATTATGTCATGAAATGAACAAAAACCCAACTAATTATTGGCCAGTGAATGTTCAATCTACATGTGATCTTTATATAATTTACACAAACAGATAACTCTTTAACAGTTTGTATTCAAATATTTCAAATGCATAAATTGATATTGACATTACTATAAACTTAAAGTATAAACAGAATTATTTTTAATTCCAATGCATATTGCAATCATAACTCATTTATTCTCTTTGTTTAATTGTGAAACCCATCTGGTTTTATGTCCACAAACATGTTTTGAAACTTTAAAAACAAAATGATTTCTCTTGTGTAATCAATTGCCATGTATTATTGATTATTAATCATAACAATTTATATGTAAAAATATAGTTGTGCTTACTGTGTCATTTTTCAATAATTATATTGTTATGATGTAATATTTTACTATTGTTAACAATCTTTAGAACTTTAGTTTATTTCAATCAAGTCAAGTGGTGTGATCATTTTGATAAATTTTATAATTCAATCAAAACGTGAAATATAAAAAAATATAAATACATGGAAGAAATTTGTTTTCCTTGTCAAATAACGATGATAGCATGAATTTATTTCATCTTGTGATGTGACAAAGTTAATATTTTCAAGTCAAGATACCAATTTTAGTAAACAACAAGAAGAGATAAACATTATATTGACAAAATATATTCAAGTCTTATATTTTCTTTGTGATCTTCATGACCTTACCATAGTGTCAATGAGGCAGACTGACTGTAGGGGTTACAAAACGTGATATTTCACCTGATTTTAATAAAAATCTTATTTATTTCACTCTAGCGAAAGTATGTTTTCATCATGGTCAGACTAAACAAAGTATGTCATGATTAAATACATACCGGTAATACAAATATCAAAACGTGTTTCATTAAAACATGAGTAAATTTCTGTGTGACTTTGATATAAAGACCTGTAGTACACTGTCATTAAATTGATGGATCTGTTGAGTTTACTGTTTACACAGAATATACCGTTTGAGTTTTAGACATATCAGATGAATTGATGCCTTCAAGATTGTTCTAAAGTTGCATGTAATGTTACACACTGTGATTAATTTTCCTTAAATTTCTCTATTTGAGATGAATGTTGTTTTCTAAATAAGCACTATTTTGAGAGAAGGTGAACATGCATTGTTTATAAAAAATTTTTTTATTGAAGTAGAAATATTATTACAATATTATTGAATTATTCATTTCAGGCCAGCGAGTCAACACAGTGAAGTACTATTATCCAGTGATGGATGTCTGGAGGAGCTTTCTGCTGACAGTAACACACTGGTTACAATGTGCGTCCTGTCAAAGGACGAGGAAGTGAAAAGCCATTTTCTTTCAAACAACAAATGTGCCTCCTGTCACATTTCACTTAAATAGGACGAGGAAGTGAAAAACCTTATTCACTCACAAAACAACATGTCCAATATTTATCAGACACTAAAAAAGCACATTGTACCATATGTTTACAAGCAAGAAAATTATTTTCTCCTGGAATTTAATTAGGTGCTTTTGACTGACAAAGACACCCGGTCCATGTTAAGTTTTGAAAACTTATATTGTGAGAAATAAAGACATGAAAATTTCGGTTTGTTTTTCTTTGTTAAATATAAGAAATCCAGATTGTTCAATCAACATAATTTGTACCGATACATATATATTATCTGGGCTTGATTACCAATTGAAGTTGAATCTATTTTATCTTTTGTTATTTTAACTGTACTCATATCTGATCAAGACATTTTCAAAATTAGTAGCTTCCTTTTGATATACAATTACCTATCATCATACAGGATTAGGTGAGGGTGTTCAAGAAGTTTGTGGTTGTATTAATTCTTATATTTCTTCAATTTCATGTATTCTTTATATTTATCAATTTTTAGTTTCCTTTTAACTTATTTTAAACAGTTCACACATTATTACTTTTGTCGTGTACGGTGCAATCTCAATCGGCAATAATCAGTTAAGTAAGTGATGTTTGAAGAACAAGTAAAGTATCATCTGTCATTGTACACACTGAATAGAGTTATTGCCCCTTCTGAATATTTATTTTGACACACGAATTATTTTGTGAACTAATTCATTTACATCGTAATATGTTAATATGAAACTAATAGCAGAAAAAGTGTCTTTTGTCAACTGGACTCATGGCAAAACGATAGTGCATTGTGCAGCAAACACCACTATGAAACGTGAAATAAACATGATCGACGATCTTGAGTTCGCCAAGCAACACACTGACTGAGCAAATTTGCAAAAGTACACTGATGTGTTTCATGTTATGCGGTTCATTTACGGTACAAAACTTCTGTCATTGAATGTACTGTCACATTGTACCTCTATGCCGACGAGGTTATGATAAAACAATCTATTTCTGAAATACGTATCTCGAAATGCACCTTTCGATTCACATCCGGGATCCTGACAGCAAAATGCTAATTCCAGTGTATTACAGGCATATTTCAGTTGGACCTCATGATTAAATGTGAAATATTTTCTGTATTAGAAACAGAGGATACCATTTTTTGTTTGTTTGAAATGTCCATCAGTGAAATGCACAACATGCTGTCTGTTCCCTATGAGCTGATGCGACTTACACTGCATGAAGCTATGCTCTCCAAGCCTCGTTTTCGATCCAGGATGGCGAAAGTGTGAAAAAGGTCAATACAAGACAAACACTCAAACCATAATCTACAATGTTGCTGTACAAGACAAACACTCCAACAACAACCTACGGTGTTGCTTTTCAAGGCAAGCGCTCCAAAAACCTCCTACAATATTGCTGTGGCAGGCTCAATTATGTACATAACTTTTAATTAAGATTTATTAGTTAGTAGTAAGGTTATATGGCCTTGTTACCATTTTAACTGATTAGTTTATTACGATATTTACATGATAAGAAGATATTATTAGTTATAATATTAGTTATGTTTTATACCTTAGTATTTTTACCTTAAACATTCATTCCATAGCTCTGTAACATTAAGTAAGTTTACTCTCAGTCTAACTTCCACTAATTGTCACACTGCATGCTTTTGACTTACAGCACTCTTTGCCCCAGCGCCCCGGCCCAGTCTATTGTCTTGTTGATAGGCCAAGCTGGCCACAGCTACAACAATGTTTGGTGTTGAATTTTAGAAAATCAGTTGCTATTTGTCACCTCAAGGAAATACTCTGCGAGATTTATTGCTGCTTTCATTTCAATGTGAGGATTTGGATTGTAGAAGGATTTATTCATATTTAAGGTTAGTTGGTTATTTATTTTATGATGTTGTATATATGGATGTTTTCTAATTATTGCGATTTGAAATAATATATATTGTAGAATGCATTCTTAATTTGATTTATTAGAAACATAATGCATCTTGTATATATTTATAGTGCTTGATGAACGTACAGTTCAGTGAGTAATTATTATCTGTATAAAACAGTATTAAACACAAAACCTAAATATATATATAAACTAAGTAATATAACCCCCTCTGGACAGTAATGGAAAGTAAATGTATGTCTGTATGCTTGATGTATGTTTGAAATGAGTGGCTGTTGTACAATATATTTTTATACACTATTTTACCAAAGGATATCACTTGTATATAGTATTCTGCATTTGTATTTCTTTATTATGCAGATTTCTCAGTAGCAACGTTCACCGTTCGATCATTGTCACGGTATTACCAGTTCAGGTATCACCTATCTGGTATGTAATGTTCGTTATCACTCTATATCATATTAATATATTTTGTATCTGTGTATTGATGTATTGTACGGATACGTCTGATGTATTATGTAATGTAAAGTAAATGGTATTCATTTTAATGGTAGTGATATATATATATATATATTTTAGAAATTTAAAGAGTAACTATAACGGATTGTATATATTTATTTCTATGTTATATTTGCTTATGTTGTACTTTTATTGTTTCAGACTGAAATTAAGTACGTACATTCGTACTGATTATAAAATAAACGTCATCAGCCTCACCCCCGACAGCTGTTTGTGATTTATTTGGCCAGTAGAGCGCCTACTCCATTATCGGCCAACACAAGCACGGTTACATTGCTATGCCAGACAAGATGTTCAAAAACTTCCCACAATGTTGTTATACAAGACAAGATCTCCAACAACAACCTACAATGTTGCTCCACAAGACAAGCGCTCCAACAACGTCCTACAATGTTGCTCCACAAGACAAGCGCTCAAACCACGTCCTACAATGTTGCTATACAAGACAAGCACTCCAACAACTTCCTACAATGTTGCTATACAAGACAAGATCTCCAACAACAACCTTCGATGTTGCTTCAATAAACGAGTGAGTGAGTGAGTGAGTTTGGTTTTACGCCGTTTTTAGCAATATTCCAGCAATATCACGAGGGGACACCAGAAATGGGCTTCACACATTGTACCCATGTCGGGAATCGAACCCGGGTCTTCGGCGTGACGAGCGAACGCTTTAACCACAAGGCTTCCCGACCGCCCCTCCATAAACGATGACATGCATCAAGGAAGTCAGCAAGCCTGATTACCCGATCCCGTAGGGCGCCTCTCACGACAAGCATGGGCGCTGATGGCCAATTCTAACCCGGATCTTCACGGGAGAAAATACACCCCAAGAATAACCCCCACTTCAATGTTTCTTTACCTACAATGTTTCTATGAAAGACAATCCAACAATAACTCTTATTCTAATAAATGATTAAAAATAATACACGTGTTTTGATATCCTTTTGTTGCAATATTTGACTTATTCGTCATTGCGTTCATTTAAATACATTTCCTCCTATCCCGTAAACTCAAAAAACTTTATATTTTCGTTCCACTCCCATCGCTTTTTTCAAACAAGATCTCGCATTGAACAAACTTTGAACACACCAACATACGTCGCAGTGCATATGCCTACCACCCAGCAGCAGGTTCTGCCCCTCCGTATGGCCACAATATGGTTAAGACAACACTTGTTGGAAAACGAATCTAAGGTTAAAAAAGCCTTGAATTACAACCAGTTAACAATGCAAGGGGGCTCCACACAGACTCCGATCAGGAAATTGACAACACACGTGACCTAATCTCGCGTTAAACGAGATGTTGACAAAAACGGTCTTGTATTGCAAGCTCCATACTGCGCCGCTATCAGCAGTTGGCCATGTGCGGCGGCAGGTTCACTGACTCTCTGTGCGCTCTGTGGATGTAGCGGGCTACAGGCTTGTTCATACTGATATGGATTAATCCACATATATGAGGTGAGTGGATTTGTTACTGTACTTAACGTTTTATAGTTCAGGCTTCTTCTGCAAACCCAAATAGTTATGGTGAGTTGGAGGACTTGAAGCAGGGTGGTAGTTGTACTAGCCTTCACGGACGAGAAATCATTACGCATGAGTTCAGCGTGACGTCACTGATTAATCTTTGCTTTTCTCTCACAGCTGTGTAACACAGGTTAATTTGAGTGCATTCATTTGCGTGAGTGAGTGAGTGAGAGAGAGTGAGTGAGTGTGTTTGAATTAATGCCGCATTCAACAGTTTTCTCGTTTTGGCACGGCACCTCAGCTTATGGCGGAAAAGAACCCGACGTACTGGATGCCTTAGATGTTGTCCTCCTTGGTGAAACCCACGAGCACAGATATGGTCCGACAAACCCGAACTCAGTGTACATCTGGGAACCAAACCCACGATCAGAGGATTGTAGCACCATTGGGTCTCAGTTGTAGCGAATTGCAGCCTTAAATGTTTGGACCTCACGTCATTCCCGCGTTCCGAGATTGTTGACACGTTCTGATATGGCTGGGAGCTCATTTAGAGCCTTCCACTTATCAAACTTGATCATGACGTCATGATGGTCAAGATGGCATTATACCTGTTTGGAACATCTTAGTATGCGCCAGTCAACTCTACGCTTGGGTTAAGCGTACTTGGCATATGTACATACAAAAAACATAAATAATTATAAAAATATTTTTGAAACATTACAAACTGTAAATTATTTCACCTAAAACATTTATATTATTCGGACACAACCATCAGAGGGAGGTACGCTCAGTCCAAGACTGATGTATCAGCCCTGCAGCCAAGACAAGGTGATGGGCAGTCCAGCTCTGTTCGACCTATTTGTCCACACAACATTTCCGACCCATTTCCGTGTAGCGGCTGTAGCGGGTGTAACGGGTGTAGCGGGTGTAGCGGCTGTGACTGTTTGCATTTTTTTTTTGTGGCGAGGTATTAGCACTTTTGGACTGCGTGAATAATTGACGTATCAGGTTGCAGGAGTAAATATATTGACATTAGGGAGGGAACTCTGATAAAGAAGTGTGGTTCATACTTAAAATAAGATACGCTCTCACAACGTTGTGAGTTTCAATGTTAACATAATCTATATCTCCACTGATCTCGTTCATTATAAAATAATATTACGACAATGTAGTTATTACTTTTAAAAGATTAATTATGAAAAAAATTATTAATAACTTTCCCACTGTAGATATATCAATGTGAACAGTATCATGTATACCACTATGATTGTGCCAGCTTCATACCCCATGTTCCTTGGAAGCCCAGAACAAAGGTTTCAGGAAGTCGTTGTTGGGGAAACATATTACTGGTTTCGTTTTCATAATATGTTTGTTTTCTACTTACATATAACATAAATATTTAAACTGAAATGGGCCATACCCTTATTCCTGATTCTGAAAGTACCACATGCAAATTACAATACTTTTATCTTCTTGGTTACACGGGGACTCGCTGTGCAGAGTTGTGTCCCTTAGGCACACCGGAAACCTATGATTGTGGGTTCGAATCCGGGTTCGTCCCGATTATGTTTCAGTACTTTACCCGCGCTCGTGGGTTTCACCGAAGTGGTAAATGTCTGAGACCTTTCCTCCCACATTAAGCTGACACGCCGTGATATAACTGAAATACTGTTGAAAGCGGCGTTAAACCAAACTCACACACTCTTGGTTACACATGTGCACTTTATGACATCAACTTTTTAACAGGAAGGCATGCGTTGTGTTAATCATCTGGATCCAACTTATCTTTGTCAAATCTGTGATTTGATGACTTGTGACTCGTGCGCTGTGCTAGAGTGTCATCGACGCTCCAATTCGGTTGTGCAACGACCATCTGTATAGTTGTCAATAGTTGTTCCAATCTGCAGCCTGACTAGAAAACATCTGCATTCTCAATCAGGACATGCACAGGGCGTGTTGCGGTGTGTCCCGGGCCTGTGTTTGTGTGGAGGGAGGGAATTGGGACAGCTCACGGCGAGGGGCTCTCGACAGCTGTGAAACAGAACATTTAAGTTATCAATATTAAAACATCACCCAGAGCGTGTGTACAGAGGCTGTTTTCCCACACACCCAGGCTGAGGTTTGGTGGCGTGACGACGTTCAAGTGAAACTACGCGATAAAACGGAAATGAGGCGGTGATTCGATGTTACAAGCCAGAAGTGAGGTAGTGTGCCAAGGCGGGAGTGAGGTGGTGTGCCAAGGCGGACGTGAGGTGGTGTGACAAGGCGGGACTGAGGTGGTGTGACAAGGCGGACGTGAGGTGGTGTGCCAAGGCGGACGTGAGGTGGTGTGCCAAGGCGGACGTGAGGTGGTGTGCCAAGGCGGACGTGAGGTGGTGTGACAAGGCGGAAGTGAGGTGGTGTGCCCAGGCGGGAGTGAGGTGGTGTGCCAAGGCGGACGTGAGGTGGTGTGACAAGGCGGAAGTGAGGTGGTGTGACAAGGCGGTCGTGAGGTGGTGTGACAAGGCGGACGTGAGGTGGTGTGACAAGCCAGAAGTGAGGTGGTGTGACAAGGCGGACGTGAGGTGGTGTGACAAGCAAGAAGTGAGGTGGTGTGCCCAGGCGGGAGTGAGGTGGTGTGCCAAGGCGGGAATGAGGTGGTGTGCCAAGGCGGGAGTGAGGTGGTGTGCCAAGGCGGACGTGAGGTGGTGTGCCAAGGCGGACGTGAGGTGGTGTGACAAGGCGGAAGTGAGGTGGTGTGCCAAGGCGGACGTGAGGTGGTGTGACAAGGCGGACGTGAGGTGGTGTGACAAGCAAGAAGTGAGGTAGTGTGCCAAGGCGGGAGTGAGGTGGTGTGCCAAGGCGGACGTGAGGTGGTGTGCCACGCCAGAAGTGAGGTGGTGTGACAAGGCGGACGTGAGGTGGTGTGCCAAGGCGGACGTGAGGTGGTGTGACAAGCCAGAAGTGAGGTGGTGTGACAAGGCGGACGTGAGGTGGTGTGACAAGCAAGAAGTGAGGTGGTGTGCGCAGGCGGGAGTGAGGTGGTGTGCCAAGGCGGGAATGAGGTGGTGTGCCAAGGCGGGAGTGAGGTGGTGTGCCAAGGCGGGAGTGAGGTGGTGTGCCAAGGCGGACGTGAGGTGGTGTGCCAAGGCGGACGTGAGGTGGTGTGACAAGGCGGAAGTGAGGTGGTGTGCCAAGGCGGACGTGAGGTGGTGTGACAAGGCGGACGTGAGGTGGTGTGACAAGCAAGAAGTGAGGTAGTGTGCCAAGGCGGGAGTGAGGTGGTGTGCCAAGGCGGACGTGAGGTGGTGTGACAAGGCGAAAATGAGGCGGTATGACAGGGCGGAAGTGAGGCAGTATGACACGTGATGTGAATTGGGGTTTTAACGCCGCGTCCAAGAATATTTCACTCATATAGCGACGTGCATATACGTGTATGTGTTTGTGTGGCTTTTTGTACTTATCCGGACTGATGCCGATTTAAAGTGCTAGCTCACTGAGATACCATACCACAGTTTAACATGAATTCCCCACTCAGACACAGTATACTCAATCCGAGCCGACCAGTCCTTGTTTTAGCACCCTAATGCTGAGCGCCAGACAGGGTAACAACAAGTACCATCTTTTAACGTCTTTTGGTATGACGCGGCCAGCGATCGAACCCCGGACCTTCCGCTCTCCGGGCGGACGCTCTACCACTTGACCACGGAGGCGGTCTGAGGCGGTATGACAAGGCGGACGTGAGGTGGTGTGACAGGGCGGAAGTGAGTTGGTGTGACAAGGCGGAAGTGAGGTGGTGTGACAAGGCGGAAGTGAGGTGGTGTGACAAGGCGCAAGTGAGGCGGTATGACAAGGCGAGAGAGAGAGTAGGTTTGACAAGGCGCAAGTGAGGTGGTGTGACAAGGCGGAAGTGACAAGGCGAGAGAGAGTGGGTTTGACAAGGCGGATGTGAGGTGGTGTGACAAGGCGGAAGTGAGGTGGTGTGACAAGGCGGAAGTGAGTTGGTGTGACAGGGCGGAAGTTGGGTTGTGTGACAAGGTGGAAGTGAGGTGGTGTGACAAGGCGCAAGTGAGGTGGTGTGACAAAGCGAGAGAGAGTGGGTTTAACAAGGCGGAAGTAACAGGTGGGGTCCCTGGTTTTGACAAGGCGGAAGTGAGGTGGTGTGACAAGGCGGAAGTGAGGTTGTGTGACAAGGCGGAAGTGAGGTGGTATGACAAGGCGGAAGTGAGGTGGTGTGACAAGGCGCAAGTGAGGTGTTGTGACAAGGCGAGAGAGATTGGGTTTGACAAGGCGGAAGTGAGGTGGTGTGACAAGGTGGGAATGAATCGGTATGACAAGGAGAGAGTGACTGGGTTTGACAACGAAGCGGCTCGCGAGCAGAGACCGCTGATGTTTCAAATTTTAAAAAAATCAACCACATTTTTCTGTTATCGGTTAATGATTTATTAAGCTGGAGTATTCCCGTCTAGTGAAACAAGCTGTTGCGACATGGAGAGTGTAGGTAACAGGTGGGGAGGGGGAGGGGGAGGGGGAGGGGGACATTTTATCATTTTCAAGTTTTGTCCGCATGACAGACACGAGCGGCTCATCGCACGCACAGAAACAAAACATAAACTCAACGCGTGGACCTGAATGTCACTACCGGTACCTATGGCTCAGTTGGACAAATCTTTGATTGACATTTTGAACATTTCCAAGGTTGTTTTCAATCGTCAGGTGCCTTCAATGTGTCGCCACTGCCTCGCCTGTATGAACGCGAATGGTGGTCACACGCGATATTAACATTGTCAACTGAGGGAAGATACACCACTGGTCCCTGAGCGCGTGTCGCTGTCCCATGTTACCAGATGTTGGTTTTGTCAGTGAATGTGTGATGTTAAACTATTGATCAAATATATTGTTGTTTTCAATGACATAACATTTACACCACTTTATATGAAGCTAAGTTACTTTCCCCCCGTTAGTATATATACCTGTATAAATGTAACTGCCCTGAGCACTCCAGTCCGTGTGAT